TACAGCTCAATTGGAACCAAACTTTCTTTGGCCTCTAAAGGCCCGCCAATCCGATTCTGCGCAACCTTTCTGTCTGCAAAGTGTCTGACGCGATACTAATCGTGGCTTGGTCTTCAGGTCAGCGGAAGGTTAGCTCGTCACGACTCCTAGTCGTGGCCTTAGCACAGCTGTGAAATCTACATCACTGAAGAACTAGCTTGGGTGCGGCATCGTATACACCTGTCAAAACCGAAGCGACACTGTGGGAGTAAGAGACCCGCCAACTTCACACCGACACCGTCACCCGAACTTTAAACTGTAAACGATAGTGCACTTTGAAGGCGCCGCAGTCGTGAATTATTGTCCGCTTGGCATTCCATTGGTCAGACTCGGACATTGGCCATATACGGCCAGAGAGAAACACTATAAATTGACAGCCTTAACGGCCAGGTTCACTCACACACGGATAGGTATACGCAAGCGAACAGCATGGCCTTTAACGAGGACGTCGGAGCTCTCGTGATCGACAATGGATCCGGCATGTGCAAGGCCGGATTCGCCGGTGACGATGCACCTCGCGCCGTCTTCCCATCTATCGTCGGTCGCCCAAGGCACCAGGGTGTCATGGTTGGCATGGGCCAGAAAGACAGCTACGTTGGTGATGAAGCCCAGTCCAAGCGTGGTATCCTCACCCTGAAGTACCCCATCGAACACGGTATCGTGACCAACTGGGACGACATGGAGAAGATCTGGCATCATACTTTCTACAACGAACTCCGTGTTGCCCCTGAGGAACACCCCGTACTCCTGACCGAGGCACCCCTCAACCCGAAGGCCAACCGTGAGAAGATGACTCAAATCGTTTTTGAGACCTTCAACTCTCCTGCCATGTATGTAGCTATTCAGGCTGTGCTGTCGCTGTACGCATCTGGTCGTACCACCGGTATCGTGCTGGATTCTGGCGATGGTGTCACACACACTGTGCCCATCTATGAAGGTTACGCCCTGCCCCATGCCATTCTTCGACTGGATATGGCTGGTCGCGATCTGACGGACTACCTGATGAAAATTCTGACTGAGCGTGGCTACAGTTTTACCACGACTGCCGAGCGTGAGATCGTAAGAGATATCAAGGAGAAGCTGTGTTATGTGGCGTTGGACTTCGAGCAGGAGATGAGTAATGCTGCGTCTAGCTCAGCTCTGGAGAAGACTTACGAGTTGCCTGACGGTCAGGTCATTACCATTGGCAACGAGCGTTTCCGCTGCCCGGAGGCTTTGTTCCAACCGAATTTCCTTGGCCTGGAGTCTGTTGGTATCCACGAGACCACCTACAACTCCATCATGAAGTGTGACTTGGATATCCGAAAGGATCTCTACGCGAACACAGTCTTGTCTGGAGGTTCAACCATGTACCCTGGCATCGCTGACCGTATGCAGAAGGAGATATCGGCATTGGCTCCAAGCACAATGAAGATCAAGATTGTGGCCCCACCGGAGAGGAAGTACTCCGTCTGGATTGGTGGTTCCATCCTGGCTTCCCTTTCAACTTTCCAACAGATGTGGATTTCCAAGCAGGAGTACGACGAGTCTGGGCCTGCCATCGTTCACCGAAAGTGCTTCTAAGTGTAAATGCAACTAGGCTTTGGAAAAAACATTTCCGCTTTATAGAAGCCTCAGCTTGATTAAATTTCACCGTCTATTCAGTCTTGCACTGCGCTTATTTTATGGTTTCGATTCGGAAACGGCCGAATTTGTGCTTTTCGTATTTGTAATTTTTTTAATAGACAGTTAAAGTTGCCCTCCAGATTGCGCATGCTCTTGACTTTCAAGCGATAATGAATTGACTGAGAGGAATAATTGTATGAGTAGGAAGGACGACCGATGAGTGCAACTATATTTTTCTTCTTCCTTTTCTTCTTCTTCGATGAACAAAGAACGCAGGATCGAGACTCAATTGTGGGTTTGAATATGGTTGGATTACGACAGAAATGGCAATGTCCCATTGCGTTTAGTCTTGCGTCGTCAGGCTACAGTACGTAAAAGTAATACTACTGATAAGCAACTTAGTAACTATAAATTATGAACAAATCAATGCGTATACCTACCGTAGGCGGGCTACTCACGGTCGGATCGATGGGGTAAAAAGTTTTTTTCGGAAGAGCAAAACGTATGGTTAGGAATGGAGTAGCACGATAAAGCGCGTGGAGCATAAATAAGACATGGGGAGCGGCGGAATGCTATTATGTTGCAGCTTTTGTCGTCTCTTAGGGTTCTGACTGTAGAAGCCGGTGTTAGAGTAACCGCTCGATGAGGTTTCTGTAGCGGCAGCTACGACAACATACAGTATGGTTTCCAGCTTATGAAATTTCCACCAAAAATCTGAGATGTGTTTTCAATTCTAACAAATTACTGAAGTAGCTTTGTAAGATTTTCGTATAGCCTAATCTAAAGATAGTCCAGTCACGTCAAGATGCCGGCCTTTGAGTGAGCTTATTTCTGGCCATCTGCAAAAGGCATGCTCTGCAAAAGTACGGCTTCTTAAGTAGTATTAATTGGTACTATTGATTTTCGATTACCTTATAAAGTTAAACTTGTTTTATAGAAAACATGGACAAAAATACTCTTTCCTATACGCGCATGGTAGTGAATTAGGCTTTCCTCCAAGTTTTACGCTTGAAGAATGGTTTTAAAAGAGATTCTACTCGTGAGATTTTTGCCAATAGAAGCGAATATG